TAAAACACTAAGAAACGTAACTAGGAGAAATTTTTTAGGAAATATTTAAACCAACTTATGTATCAAATAAACGATTTTACGAAAAATCTTATTTAAAGCTTGTTGTATCTTTAAGCCCAGCTAGTTATCAAGTGATTTATTGACCAATCAAAATACGACTTATTCAATCTTAGTACTGTGCCAAACCAATGACGTTCGACCAATATGAGCAGCTAGCATCCTTATTGGTCCCTCCAGTTGAGTCCAGAATGTCGATGACAGTTTCCACTATACGAATCATCTATTTCAAACATACTTGGTTTATATACCAACCAAACAGACCGCATCAAACCATAAAATAGGAAATAACATTTATAGAAAATCAAGCCAAAAAGTGACTGTGAACATGAGAGATTGTAGTCAATAAAATCAGTATCATTCAGAATAGTAAATTGTATCATAATAGTCTATAGATCAAAATAAAGCTTGTAATAAGAGAAATATAGATATACATAATCTAGTTACTGAATAGTTGTACTATATACATAATATTAGTCCATTAATATTTCTCAGAAGTTACCCGTAATTCAATCTTCACCAGTATATAACAAATCTATTATTTATAAAATATTTGAATTGATAATTCCGCCGACAGCAATTTTAGTAATTCAAACATTATTCCTGTGTTAAATTCAATTAGGTGTAACAGTATGAAAATTTATCATTTTCATATGACTAATAGCCTGAACTAAAAAACAAAACAAAACATTAGTCCTAAATGACAGTTGAAATGTAAAACTGTGTATATTCTCCTCATCTTGAAAACAACAAATATTTTAGTTTATATTTACAAAACTAACAAAAATCTAATTTGTTTTAATGTTTTAAACTACAATTTAATCGGCATGTTTGATTTAAATATGTATATGTATTTCAATAAATAGATTTGAATGAATGTCATTTTTTTGATAATTTGCAAATTTGCAAATATTTGTATCGGACAACTGTTCCCTTCAAAATTAAAAAAAACTGGGAAGCTGTTTATTAGGGTCAAGCATTGTAAGACAAATTTTAAACTAATGTAAAATTGTCAGAAGGGGTTTTGTGGAGATTTTGGTAATTTCACTAGTTGAAATCACGAGTCAATTGAAGCTAGACCACCATGGAAAACCTGGAAGCACTGGACGGCCGTTTCGTCCTAGTATGGAATTCCTCAGCAGTTCGTGAAATTGTTGCTTTAAAAGGAAAACAATAATCCATATTTTAAAAAATATATTACATATACGTTGAATAAACTAAGTGTTTACGTATGTATTATAATTTATTGACTTGTCAGTGTAAAAACTAAATAGATTCTTATCAAAAATAGAAATGAAAAATAAACGATTCGCTTGGAAAGATTGGGTTTTATCTACTGGAAATTGCATTTTATGGAATCAGTCAAGATTAACATGGAACTCTTACGAACAAAAAAGCTGTTTTATAGATTGTTTGTGGTGTATCACGATAAGAATTATGAATGTTAACTTATGGGAACTGTTAATGGGCAAATACGATACATATATTTTTATTGTATAATTGTTAAGTAACTAAACTGTGCATAATCATGTTCATCTTATTGTAAGCTTTATTTTGACTCATAGACTATTATTATACGATCTAGCATTCTTGAGTTATGCCCAGTTTATTATTTACAGTCTCGCACATTCACAGCCACTTTGGCTAGATCTTGTACAAACGTTATTTTCTATTTTATGGTGCAATGTGGTATATTTGGTTTATATATAAACCTAGTATGTTTGAAATACATAATTCATATCGCAGAGGCTGAGATTAATGTTCTGGACTCGACAGGTAGGGCTAGAAGGAAGGAAGGACCGATAATGATTCTAGACTGCTCGTACGGGTTTACGCGTCATTGATAAGGTCGATAAGTCACTGTTTTCTAATTGGCGGTATCATTAAGTTATATACTGATAGGGCACAAGTTATGACAGTTTGCCCATTAATGCACTCTACCTACATTTACAAAAAACCGTTTTCTATTTACGTCTAGATAACATTTTGAAGATTTAGTTTCAGACAGATCAAAATTTCGTTTGTGATTATCTACTGTCATTGTTAGTATACTGCGATTCCTTATCACAGAACATGAAGTCTTCAGTTCTTCACCTAGTACTGATGGGAACAATCCTGTGTTGAGTAGTGATTAGTTTTAAGATCAGTCTTAAAAAGACATAGGTTTGACCTATAAAGCCAATCAGGTGGATATTGAGACAGAGACTCACCGAACATCATTGGATCGGGATAGCATCATATCGCAAACTAACTAAAGTTAGCAATAAGAACTGTTAGATGTTCACTCATCTATCGAATTGTACTAAATCTAAAGTTCCTAAGTTCGATTTCACATAGATGTTGTCAATGTGCGTTGCTCAAATGTTTAAAACTAGACAAAATAGCTATTAAATACTTCTTGATTTATAATGATTCTCCAGTTGTAACCAGTATGTAATGAAAATCGCCTGAGTAATCCAGTTGTTTTTATTCGAATTTGTTTAAATAATGATTGTTACTTCCACAATTTTAACTTAAAATTATCAGTAGATGTTCATTAGGACTAATACAAAATAGATTGTTAGTGTTTTGCCATAACTATCCAGATATTACTTTTCCTTCAGAAATTCCGTATATCCTTTATAGTTTTAATTTATTGAACTTCATAAATTGACCGGTTTTATACAAATCCAGTTATTCTAATGAAAACAAAGGTGATGCGTCAGCAGTTAACAAATGAGTTAAATTAAATAAAAAGTTGGGTGGTCAATGGATATGATTTTAATTTCGATGATGATTGACATCATAGAGAGAATTTGCTTGGAGAACCATTAAAAAATAAAGAGCATTAGACGACTGTTCCTTCGACTCAGGAATCTGAAAGTAAATTATAAATCACTAGATATTAAAATCTTGGGATCTATATCATAAGTGCACATAACTAAAAAGCCCCTAAAATAAAATAAATGTTATTATCTTTAAATTGTTGTTCTTAATGCCTTTGAGTCACTAAGGGTAATCATCTGTATGAAAATTTAAATTAGTCTTTGACAAAATATTGAATAAAATTTATGAGAAAACATAAGCTTGTTTTCATAGATTAAACATAAGTCTATCTGATCTATTTTTTTGATTACAAACTTTGTTCTAGTAAAATTTCTTTACCTGAGGCAACCTGATATCTTGTTCAGTAGTTAAAAGTTAGAGATTTCACAATTTACACAATTATATCAAGTGAAGTTAATAATTATTTAGAAAGACAAACAAATATCTGTTTTTTTTTTCACAAAAATTATGGTTCAACCTATTTTCGAAATTTATGTCTATATTGGATTATTTATGACTAATGGAAAAATAGAAGATTTATTTCAACGTCTGTAATCTACCAATATTTCAAAAAGCCTACGTCATTACGATCTGTGATGTTACTTATAAGCTGACACTAATTCGAATAAGAGTAGACTGTAGAATACACTATAATATGAATTACTTATTGAAAGTGTATATGCTTTGATTTCAAAAAAATGAGTGTATAACGGAATTAAATACGTCAAATACGAGAATGGATGTTTAAATATATTTATTTTGTACATTCATTGATCTGGACAGACAATCAGATGAACGAAGCGAAATGACGCGCGGTGGAGATGGCGGGCAAGTCAAATCGATTTAATCAAGCGTTAATCAATCTTTATAGTCACACGAGAATAAGCTACAGACATGTGATGAGTAGAATAAGATGTACACACATATACGCTCATGTAAAAACAGTCAAGGTTGATAAGTGAATAATTATCAAGGTCAAAACGTGACTAAAGAAGAATAAATAAATTAGCCTGTCCAGAATCCAGAATAAGTTATATAGGCTTGATAAAATAACCTACATTATAGTATGCTCTTTTAAGTGTCTGAGTATGTAACATGACAAGATAATGCTTATCTGATGACTGTTAGATACCTAGCCTGTCGCATGCCCTGATGGTGTTCTCGTAACTTTCGGGTTGCCTGATCTGCCAAGGGCGATGGGACAGTGCATGATGTTATTGTTGTGTGCTAGGTTCAAAGAGAATTGTATGCTATATGCATGCAAATCCGCCCCGTTGTTGTTCCTATTTGCCCCATAATGCCCTGGTATGGCCGAGAGTGGGGTGGGCCCGCCCTCCTCTCGAAATACTCTCACATGGCCACACGTATACAGCCTATGTCACGGAAGTCCTACTCATTGCCTTCTCGTGGCGGGGGTGTTGTTTACGATTTCGGTGGAGTTTTGTTCTCTGAGCTGGATGGTTTGGTCGTGGAGCTTTCATCGTTCTTCTGAACGACATCATCAGCACAAACTTCAGATAGAAAATGAGAGGACGAAAAGCGAATGTCCGGTGCTTTAACCGGATTCCAAACCAATGGTGCACATGGGCTCCAGTATCCTGCGGGAACAAATGGCGTATGAACCAATTATTGGTCACCGGCTACCATGGGACTGCATCTCCTTACGATGCTCCACTGCCTTGTGGATCAGACCTTTAGGTCAAAGGCTCGGTGTGTGGCCCCCTAAGAAAACCACCTGCTTCGGTTTGGGCACCCAGACAGTATCACAGCCCCCACAGAAATCGAATGATTTATGTGGCGCATATGTATTTGGTGCCTCCTTGTACCAATATCTATGTGTTAAAATAAATAAATAATAAATAAATGTTAGATAACAGTATATATATATATATATATATATCAAGATGACTGATTTGTGAAGAAGTCTGTTGTAGTTTATAATAAGTTAAAACATACTAATATTTATAACTTTGAAAATTCATTTTAATAAAGAGAACGTTTTCATTTATAATAAAGTCTATCTTATTCATTATCTGTCTAATGAATATAAAATAACAGATATAGTTTATTCATCGACAATTTAGCATTTATTTCAGTTTTTGGTTTAAACACAAACAAACAAAATTAACATTTCTCACCTTCATAATATTCAGACATTATGATATTATCCTCAATTAATTTAATTAGATAAATGAAATTTCAATGATTTAATAAATTATTTATTTATTAAATAATATAATCCAACTATTGACTTTCAATTGAATAAATTATTAATATTATTTTTTATATATTTTTTGTTGTTGTTGAGGCAACTTGATTATAATTTTTGATTGTTTGTTTTACTATTGTCAACTTTCTAATCTAATGGGCTTTTATAAAGTGTTTAGGGTAATTTCGATTTCCCAATCAAAAAATAATAATAATAATTTTTTTGTAAATTATCCAATCATAATAAAATGTCCATTACTACTATAATAAGCATCTTATTCAAATGGAGAAAATAGACTATATCAACTGACATTATAATTAAAATACTTTGACTGTACAATAAAAATTAGTAGGACAGACATATACACATGAATTGATGAAAAGAGGGGGGGGGGGAATTGAATTGAATATGGGAATCATTAGATAATCGATAATGCCTGACCGAGTAATTTTTTTTAAAAATATTTTTTGTTACAAACCAATCTGACCAATAAAACAAATCGAATAATATTGGATACTTTATGCATGAAATAAATAAATAGAAAAAAAAAACTATTTTTGTAAAACTAAAATTGACTAGTCAACATTTAAAATTTATAAAATATTTCTGTTAATGTTGTCAAGGTAATTACTCATTATTTATTTATATAGATTGGTGATTGGTAGAATATAGTCATTCAAATGATAGGACACAAAAAAACATTAGAATATCAAGTTCGTCATATTATGTCGTACAGTTTTAAGGTTTTATGGTTATTTTAACTAACAGATATGATATGTATCCAAACAAACCAGTGATCTGGATTCTGGAAAAAAGAGATATATATGTATATATAATGATTGTGCTCACCCTATGATGTACATCCTTATACCCTTATTGTTAACCTTGTGATTTGAATTGATCTACAACGTAGTTTAAATATATGTCTCAAAATTTATAAATTTTTACAAACGTATTTTAAGAAAGCTTTTGTTAATGTTAGAGATTATCTGGAAAGAATCAAAAAGCACTAGGAGGCTGTTTCTTTTCAGGTTAGAACTACCAAGTAATAGATACTAAAGACATGCAACAGAATGAATAATCTTGATGTTTTACAATGAAGACTATACTTTTAGATTACAACTTTTAGAATTTGATGAACAGGTATTTCCGAATTCAGACAACTAATGATTAAAAGCATGGATTATTCAATGTCTAAAATGATAACTAACTCACTGCTGAGATTATTTTGTCCTGACTAGTCATGATTTTACATTTGATCTTAAAGAATTTCATCTTAAACTTAACCATCAGTCTTCTAATGATCATAGTTTTCAGTTTATAAATACGTAAATCAGTTGTAAGCAGAAATTCACTTTCATTAAGTGAAAACTAACTATAAATCTATGAACATCAGATGGGCTTTGTGAATATTATAGTAATTTCAATGGTTAAGATCATGAATCAGTTGAAGCTAGACCACCATGAAAAACCTGGAAGCACTGGACGGCCGTTTCGTCTTATTGTCGGGCTCCTCAGCAGTTGAAGTTAGACATTAACACCGTTGGATGCCGGTTCAGTGGTCTAGTGGTTAAGTACTCGTGCGCGAAACTAGTAGGTCCTGATTCGAATCTCTCAGGGGGCGAGGTCATGGATGCGCACTGTTGAGGAGTCCCACAATAGGACGAAACGGCCATCCAGTGATCTAGCTTCAACTGACTCATGATCTTACTCATTGAACCTACTATAAATCTATGAGTTTATTATGTATTTTCTAAGCAGAACGGAAATCATGTCATATAATTAATAGTAATTTCTTATGGGGTATATTAATATGAAAATGATATGTATGATAATAGACTGTATGTTCAATTCATATTTATGTAATAGAATCATTAACATTCGTTAAATCATTTGCTATTTATAGTTATAACAAAATCTGTTTATTGCACTGTACGTGGCAGACAGAAATTCAGTATTGTAAGAAATGTTATAATATTGCAGAGATAATCCACCGTAAATATATGTGAATATATGTTTTCATGTATACTTGATCTGATCAAAGATGAAGTAGGGAAAAATATGAGAAGTTGCAAATCACCATTAATCGATTATTGTTTGAAAAAAAAGATTAACATAATTGAGGATTTTTCTTTAATACTCATTGTTTTATAAATTCACTTGTAATCGTAGTATATATATGTATTTATTTAGTTAGTCCGCTTGCCTTCAGCTGTTCAGATAATTTACTGATAAATGTATCATTGATATCAACTCTAGTTTTTTTTATCAAATAGAAGAGGGCTGTGGATATTCAAGACTTGACAATGCTGTTGTTCATAACACCCTTAAAAACGAGAATCTCCAAGCCCAATCAGACGAGAAGTTAGAAACGGAGGAGTTTGAAGATTTATTTGAAAGATAGTCAATGTATCGAGGTGTGTGATTTAATCTGATTTGTTGTTGAGAGTGACGCGTAACACGGCGTACTATATGGTGATTTGTTGTGGATGCTTGACCAAGGGTCTTTAGCTAAAGTATATCCAGTGAAACCAATGAGATCAGCATCAATGTCGAAGTCTTGTAGAACTATTTATTTTGAGGATAAAAACAAAAGAGTTAAAATAGTACTTTAATTAAACGGGTAAACAATAAACATAGCATATCATCGCACAACAAATAGTACTAGTGATATCTACATTCGTCAGTTTTCTTTTTTTGTATAATAATAATAATAATAATAATAATTCATTAAATCATTTATATTGTCTTCATCTATTTTTGCAAAGACTATTTGTACAACAAGTGCTAGGGTTGGTATGAAGCAGATTTATATTAGGATTTATAAAACGTGACCAAGTATGATTGTACAAATGTCCATGAGTACATTTTAATATAGATTTTCAGAAAAATAAGGTAAGTATATGATATAAACGGTATACTTTAAAATGTTTCTGATCAGAGTTATTAGTTTACAAAAATAAAACGGTCAATCTATTAAAACAAATATTCTTTTGAGTGTTGCTAACTAAGATCATTCCATAGTAATACTAGAACGGTTTATAGCAGAAAAGTTGGACAGAAAAACGTATATCAATAATTGCTGATTTATATGGACAGGAGTTGGGTCTGAATAATGTACAAGGTCTAATTAATGTTTGCTTCCAGAATGATTAAAGGCAGTAAATCGGTAAGGTTTTTACATTTGTACTTATGCAGCTATGTGATAAATCCATATATTGAGAGAGGTTGCTCATCACAAAGTGATATCCACTGAGACTTGCTTACGACAGTTACCACGCGTGGAGGAGCATAGGCCGTCCATTAGCATTCTTCACTTAACTTTGTTCTGGGCAAACTTTCCAGTTGTTTCTGGCTGCTATTCATTCTCCTGATGTCTGCTTCCAATTCCCGGCACAATACGTCCCTTGATCTTCCTCTTTTCCGTTTCTCTTCAGGTTTCTAAGTTAGTGCTAGTTTCGTGATGAAGTTTGATGAGTTTCGTAATGTATGTTCTATCCACCTCCAATGTCTTTTTTAATTTACTTTTCAGATGGAAGTTGATATGTTCTCTCAGCGGTAGGCTGTTGCTGATGGTATCCGGTCAACAGATATTGAGTATCGTGTGTAGACAATTGTTTATAAATAACTACACTTTTTGACGATGGATGTAGTAGTTCTTCAAGTTTCAGCTCCGTACAGTATAACTCTCTTTGCGTTCGTATTAAAGATTCTGACTTTAGTATTGATTGACGGTGGCTCTGAGTTTCATATGTTCATTAGCCGTAGGACTGCTGTCCTTGCTTTGCTAATCCGTGCCTCTACATCTACATCTGATCCACCTTGTTCATCGATCATAATATCCAGATACGTGAAATATATCACCTATTACAGAGTCTCTTAATCAAGTGTGATTGGGTTGGTATTCTCCGTATTGTATTCGGGTATCTTGCTTCTTCCTTTGTGTATGTTGAGGCCTACTGATGCAGAAACTGCTGGTACACTGTTTGTTTTGACCTCCATCATTTGTTGTGTATGAGATAGAAAGGCCAGGTCATCTGTGACGTCCATATCGTTTAGTTGCATCCAAGCTGTCCATTGCATTGTATGTCAAGGTCCTCATAATACAGTCAACCACCAGAAGAAAGATAAAAGAGGAAAGTAAGCAGCCTTGTCTGTGTCTGATCTTCACTTGGAATGTTTCAGTCAGCTGTCCTCTGTGCAAAAATTTGCAGTGTAGTCCATCGTATGTATTTCGGATGATACTGATGATTTTTTCAGCTACCCACACCATTGTATCAAAGAAGGTTCTACAAGGTTCTCCTATTCACTCTGTCATATGCTTTTTCATAATCAAAGAAGCTGATGTACAGTGATGAGTTCCATTCAACTGATTGTCCAACGATGATACGTAGTGTTGCGATTTGGAGTAGTTTTTAATTCCAGTTACATAAGTATTGGGGGCAAGCTTATCGTACAATTCTTGACCACTTAAGCAATTTAGTATGGCATTAAGACTTTTTTTCGAAGTTTTAAGAACTAAGCACAGCGTAAACAAAATACATTTAAAGTGAAATTAAATGTATACAACTCTCACTGATTACAACTAAAATATTTTCAATATTTCACTAGACAGTCTATGCTATATGAACTAATTCAAAGAAATAATTAGCTGATCTAGCTAAATACTGATATTGTACCATACCTTGAGTTGAATCGTAATGATCATAGTCTCATAAATCCATTAGTAATATAGTAGAACAAGATGATATTTTATCTTTAACTTATAAATCATCTTATTCAATGAGTATTATGTACTGTAAAGTCATTTTCAACTGTATATTCAACATTAAGGATATAATTCAATAGAATATTTTATGATTGTTTAACTGAATGATTTTATTTAGTTTATTAATCATTTAGTGATACATACAATAAATCATACCATAGACTAGAGTATAGTGATAAT